TAGCTAGAAGATAAAAGTAGCAAAAGTCTAGGTAAATGCTAAAAGTCCATCCATCCATCCATTATCTTTACCCGTTTATTCCATTTTGGGTCACGGGGGTCGCTGGTGCCCATGTCCAGCAATCACTGTGCGAGGGGCGGGGTACACCCTGGACGGGTCGCAAGTCCATCACAGGGACACATAGAGACAAACGAGACAAACAACCATTCACTCTCTCACTCACACCTAGGGGCAATTTAGAGTTACCAATCAGCCTAACATGCATGTTTTTGGTCTGTGGGAGGAAACCTGAGCACCCGGAGAAAACCCACGCATGCACGGAGAGAACATGCAAACTCCACCCAGAAAGGCCCCTGGACCGGGGTTTGAACCAGGGACCTGCTCGCTGAGAGGCAGCAGCTCTACCAGTTGCGCCACCGTGCTGCCCATGCTAAAAGTCATAAAACCGTAACTTGAATCTAAAAGTAGCAAAACTGTAGCTAAATGCTAAAAATAGAAAATGGTAGCTAAAAGCTAAATGTGGTAAAAGGCTAGCTAAATGCTAAAAGTAGTAAAATTAAATAGAAGCTAAATTAGCTAGAAGATAAAAGTAGCAAAAGTCTAGGTAAATGCTAAAAGTCATAAAACCGTAACAAGAATCTAAAAGTACCAAAACTAACTAAAATCTAAAAATAAAAAACAGTAGCTAAAAGCTAAAGCTATCAATAGGCTGGCTAAATGCTAAAAGTAGTAAAAGCAAGTAGAAGCAAAGTAGCAAAAGGCTATCTAAATGCTGAAAGTACTAAAACCATCAATAAAATCTAAAAGTAGCAAAACTGTAGCTAAACGCTAAAAATAGAAAACAGTAGCTAAAAGCTAAATTTAGCAAACGGCTAGCTAAATGCTAAAAGTAGTACAGATTTAGCTAGAAGCTAAAAGTAGCAAAAGAAGACAAAATTAGAGGCAGTACACTGAAGCAGATTTCAAAGTGAACAACGTTTTTGAAGGAATTGAAAACATCAAAATGTATTTCTGTGGGGAAAATATCTGCATCTAAAGTAAAATAATTAGAAAATTGTAAACGTTACAAAAACAAAAAGTCACAGCATCCATCTTCTGAATGTGCTGAGCGTTTGTAGAAGTAGTTGAATTACAAAAAAAAACATATGGAAGAATTAAAAAAATTAAAAAATGCTGAATCATCATTAACAAATAATTTGTCAGAAAATCCAACTTTCTAACCACTAATTATATTTGCAGTCTGATGCAACTAAATACATTTATCAGCATTTTGCAAACTACTATAGTACCTTTTAGGTCACTGTTTATTCACCTGACTGAGGTGCATTGTGGGAATCATACAGATGTTTTTTGATAATCTGGCACAACGTAAACACTATTTATGAGATATCCTGAGAGATGAACGGTAAATGTTCAGGACGTAGTGACGTGAGCTGAACCCCCTCTCGCCCTTCAGCTGTGAAGGTAAACCTCTGTTGACAGATTTACTGTTTACTTTGATTCTTCTGGCAGCAACACGTCGACGCACACACAAAAATAAAACGGTCGTTCTGAGGTAACACAGTCACATGAATTACACTGTTAGTTATCTAAATAACCGTTTTTAATTTTCTGTGTTCACATGTGGCTTTTCTAGAGTATCACTCATCTGATGTGAAGCTGTTTTCAACATGAGCAACATTTTTCTGCTTTTTGCATTTTTAATTAATTGCACATATTAGTTGTTTTGTTGTTGTATTTTTATCTTTTTGTTGTTGCACTGACAGCTCTCGGTACGGATTTATCCGTCTCCGTGTTGCGTTTTGTGCTTTACTGCGTCTCGGCTAGCTTCCAGCGCACATCACGATGCAACGGAAATGTTTGGCTCTTTTCTGAAGCCTCTGCTGGTTCAGAAGGTTGAACAGAACTGGGTCGAGTTCCGTTAGAAGTCAGAACCTCTCAGGGGCAGATGCTCTGACAGAATTCAGGCTTTTAATTTAATGCTGCTTTGTTTTTTTGTTGTGATGAGTCAAATTAAACTGGGCTTTTTTTTTTTTTTTTACGGAGAACCTTACAGGATGTAGTCGGATCTTCTGAAGGGGTGTTCATTAGAAAGCTTAGGAGCAGTCAATATCTTACCTGTTGTAGGTAGCTCCTCGGTTTGGAGAATTAGTTTCGTTCTGACTCGATTGACGAGCTATAGGCTAGTCCAGGTTAAAAACCAAGAGCAAAATGGCTCAGACATTTTTAAATTAAACTTTATTTCTCTAACCTGAACATGTTTAAGGATCTATGTACAACAGGTAAGATGTTTATTTACACAAATCCGTACTTCAGAAGATCTGAGCTGTTGTTTTAAATGAATCTGAACATTAATGTGAGTAGATTCAACCAACAATTTGGTATAATTTGGTTTCTATTGGGGGGAAATGCTCATTTCCCCCCAGTTCTTTATAAACCTTTTGTCGTTTCTCCAGTTAAAACAACAGTTTGCACGTCCTTCATTCAGGTGATGTCCTCTGAAGACGGCCAACAATAAGCTGCTTTGTTGAAGGCAGTGCCCGACCTGCTCAGTCTGTGTGCAATTCATGCAAAACACACAGCTGCAGGTGATCGCTGCATACCGCAGGCCCACTTGTGTTGAAATAGCAAAAACAAGTTTGGTTGCTTGGAAAGTATTGGTAATGGTGAAGTTCAACACGATATGTTCAATTTTATTTCACATTTTAGTCAGAAACACTCGTTCAGAGCCGTGATGTTCCCTAGTCGAGTTCGGTATCTTCAGACGTCACTTTGGGGTTTAAAAACTTTTACAAACTTTTAAAACTGCACGGCAGACTTGCAGCTGCAGGAAACCAGAGCTCCCTGAATTAAGTCGGTGCGATTCTGCTCCAGAGGGAGTCTCAACGCTGAGATGCTTTTATGGAAGAGATGGCTGATGGGTAATCGTGTCTGTGGAGCTGGACTTCAGCAGACGTTCAGAACCATCAGGAGGATTTCACGTCTACTATCATGCTCATGGACCTGCCTGCTCCTCCCTGCAGAATGTCAGCTGTCCGTTTTGTAAAAAATCATTTGACTTTTTAATTTATTTACTTTGTAGTTTATTTTGAGAGGATTAAAAAGTGAAAACTACGGTCTACGTGAGCTCAAGAAAAACGTTCTGACACTCGTCTAAGGAGGTTTCTGAATACCAACTAAAAACGTGAAGTTTCAACCATTTTAAACTGCAGCGAGCTCTCCAGATCATCCCTCTACCTCTTCAGGCTCTCTTCCGCCTGCTCCCTACTCTCACTACAGATGTCTGTTAACTCCTGCATGACCTCATCTGTCAACAAGTCCCATCACTGCTGTAAATAAGGAGCTTGGTCCTTGATGTAATCCCACCCCCACCTTAAACTCATCCATCACTCCTGCTGCACATCTTACCACAGTTTCGCACTACCCTCCCTACTGTATGCTTTCTCTAAAACCACAGACACAGTGATCTCCTCTTTACCTCGCCATCAACGTCCATAAAGCAAACATCGTGTGTTTAATAGGATCAGCAGTGAGTTTTTGAATATTAAGTCTAAATAAAATGGACGAGTTGGATTTTTTCTTGTTGGTCTTATTGTTTTTACACCGGCACCTTGCACTGGGCTTTTTTTATTTGTTTTCAACACAACACCTACAGTTTAATGTATTCCTATTATTTATAATAAATAATATGTATATTATAATATGTATTCTGTATTGTTTATTTTTGTCGTTAATCTAACGGCCTCGTTTCTGTCTCTTCTGTCTTCCAGGGCTGAAAAAACTGAAGTATTGAGTGAAGACCTATTGCAGGTACTAATGAGCCTTCGTCGAGTGTGTGTGTGTGTGTGTGTGTGTGTGTGTGTGTGTGTGTGTGCATTCACTCAGTAAAACATCATTATTGGGGCAAAGCGTTCAGTCTGCAGAAAATGACTTTTTCCAAATGCGTATCTGAACTGCCTTCAGGCATTTTTAACGAGCGCTGAGTTGGAACTTCTCTCCAAGACAAAAGGCTGCAGCGTCCTCGCTGATTGATCCGGGGCGCAGCGTCCTAATTGATCAGATTAATGATGCCCTCAGAGGCAGCGGCCTCGTTTCCACAGAGTTGGTATAATAATGAGCTGAGAGGCGTCCAGGAAGAACGGGCGACGTGCGTTCGGTGCCTGCGCTGAGAGCGATGCTGTGAAGTTGTTGCAGACTCAGACGCGTAATCGTTCCGTCTGATTTTGTGCGTGTGTTTCAGGTTGAGAAACGATTAGAGCTGGTCAAGCAGGTTTCCCACAGCACGCACAAGAAGCTGACGGCCTGTCTGCAGGGACAGCAGGGTGTGGACGTGGACAAGAAGTCTGTCAGGTCACCCTCGGTGAGTTCAGGTCCTTTAAAACAATGTTCTCGGAGCACACGGGCGTATTTTGATCCTGGGGCCGGAAACGATCTCCATCCAGCCTTTAATATTCACACATGCCGTATTTTTCGGACTATAAGGCCTTAAAAAATGATAAAATCCTTTAATTTTCTCAAAAATCAACCGTGAGCCTTATGTATTAATTCTGGTTGTGCTTATTGACCTCGGACCATTTTTTTGTGGTACACAGAAATCTGTCAAAATGAACTTATTTCGCTTAATTTGCCTTATAATCCGGTGCGCCTTATAATCTGACAAACACGGTATTAAGGTATAAAGGAGCAGATTAAAAAATATAATAATGAGCTGACTGTTCATATCTTGTGAAGCGGATTTCTGTGGAAATATTAATTATAATTAATATCTGATTTAACTGACTGTACCGACCAGCTAATGGTTATTCTGAGTAGGACCAAGGCCAGAGAGGATCGTTGTCGCCTTAAAATAACTCCTTCTTAAAAATCATAGTTCATGCAAACAGTATTTTATAAACCGAGTTTTACATGAGAATGCTGTTCCTTCAGAAATATTAGAATAATCCTGCAGGAAGTACCCGAGACTGAACAGGAAGTGCTAACCGCCTATGCTTGTAAATAACCATAATATTTTACGGAAATGAAACGGACTTCAGTGTAAAAATGTTTACAACTTGATTATCCGTTAGCCGGTCAGTCCGGTCAGAATTAAACCGTTTCTCCAAACTGAAGCTGTTCAAAGAGCTATCTGCAGCAGGTAAGATATTGTTATGGATAACTCTCTCTCCCCCCAAAAAAACAAAAAAAAAAAACTTGAAATGATCTAATTTATTGCTTTAATGTTCAGTCCCAAATGTACAGTTTTCTGTCACAAATGGAGCAGATTCTGGTGGATTTGTGGACCATTGGCCCATGTTGGCAAATACTGTTGTCAGCAAGTACTGTAGTACAACTACATGTTTTTAGTACAATGGTGATCAGGAGGAAACAAAGCATCTTTTTCTGTGTTTTTGTGATGTTATTTGTGCTAAAAGTGTGTAATTAAAGCGTATGACTCTTAAAATAACATTAATTATAACATAAGTATTGTTTTAAAAATTCAATGTTAACCATTTTTGTGATAAAATAATTTCAAATTAAACAGTAAGTGACGTCAGAGGGGGAGGTGCTTCGATCTTTGGTTGTCTGTCTCCAGTGATATTCACAGTTTTCAGAGACGAACGACACATTCAGGCTGTTTCTGTGCAGAAAAAACTTCCTCTCACGACGCTCGCACAATGCATGGTGGAGGGCGCCGCCGTGCTCGGGGACGAGTCTCTGCTGGGGTGAGCGCCCACCTTCAACCGTCAGCTCATACGGGTCACGGGGTTCGTGTTCTAACGCTCACGGTTTGTTGCAGGAAGATGTTGAAGCTCTGCGGCGAGACGCAGGAACGACTCGCTCAGGAGCTCGTCTCCTTCGAGCTCACCATCGAGAAGGACGTGATCGACCCGTTATCAGAGCTCTCAGAGGTCTGAAACGTCTTATTTTCTGTTTACTTGTTTAATTTTTAGTCATTATGGAGAAAGCATTATACACAGCTGCCCAAATCCAACTCAGCATTTCCTAAATTGTAAAAGTCAAACGTACTATCGATTATTTCAGGTGCAAAAAACTGATGTGAAATAAATAAAGACACAACCTTTTCTTTTTAGAAATACACAAAGTATAAAACCAAGAGCATTAAAGTAACATGTGTCATAACTAATGTCATTATGTTGCACAATAAAAATATTGTTTTAGTTTATTATTACAATAAAATTACTGATATTCATTTGCAAACGTCATTACCGTACTTGCCGCTGCACACGCCGCACCCCTGTATGAGTCGCATCAGTCCAAAAATGTCTAATAAAGTGGGAAAAAACATAAATAAGTTGCTTCGCCGCATAGATCGCATCTATTATGCGTCACCGCTGACAACCCCGAAACGTGGGCCTGTGTTGTGCCAAAAATCGATTGGCTGCTAAATGGTGGCCATGGCAGGACTTTAACAAGAAGTTAACAAGATAAACCACTTACAAACAATTGTTTGTTTGCTCAAAATTATATCAAAGGTGCGTCTCAGTTGAACTTTTCCTTAATAAATGCACTTTAACGGTCAAATCAGCTGCATTTCTCCTGGGCAGCGCGGCGAAATGAAGCTGATTTGACGTTTGCTCCAGGAGTTCCTGAGCGAGACGAAGGTGGCTTTGTATGGCAAGCCAAGTGTCTCATTAATAGCCACTTTTACCTATTAATGAGACACTTGGCTTGCCATATAGGTCAAGTGCCCTCTAGTGGCTGAAAATGGTAGTGTTTGATATTTTCCATGTCAAAATGAATGAAATCATCAGATCTCTGCCAACAATTGGTTTATAAATATAGGAAAAATACATAAATAAGTCGCTTTGCTGTTTAAGTCGCAGGGCGTACTAATTTATGCAAAAAGCTGCAACTTATGCAGTACTTATAAAGTTGACGCAGCAACCACTTGACCTCTTTTTGCAAAAATGGGAATCATTTTGAAGTCGGGAGCTCGGGGTTTTTGTAATTGAACATGGAGAAAACGAAGAAGCAGAGGAAGAGGAGTGCTGCTGCTCCACTGCCTTCACAAAAACAGGCAGGCATGTCAGGAAAGATATAATTCATCCGCTCCTGCAGTCCTGAGTGACGCACCATGGTTTCTTCCTGAAACAGTGAGTGTTGTTCACGTCGCTTTAAGGAGGGAACGTGTTCTTCAATTAAGAGTGCGGATCACGCCAGCTGAAGTCGTGGTACATAGCATTATTTCCTTTGTGCAAAAAAATAAAATAAGGCTAAAACTCAACGCTGAGCATTTCAGTGAATCGGGGATTCAGTTATGAACAGGCGCTGGACTTCTGACAATCCCGAGTCTGTTTCTTGTTTTGCTTCATACCTAGAAACACACCTGAGGAAAACTCTCTTCTTCGTTTCTCAGGTGGAAATCCCAAACATCCAGAAACAAAGGAAACATTTAGCAAAACTGGTCCTGGACATGGACTCTGCACGCACAAGGTGAGTGATTCGTGCATGTGTGTGTGTCAGAAACTGCGCTGCGACGCTTCAGCTCCTGTGAATGAGCTGCTCCTGAAGCTTCCCACAGAAAAGCCCTGATTTGATTGGACACCATAAAGCTGCTGCCAGTGTGTGAAAAACTCTCACAGTGACAGTTATCAAACGCTGCTCCTCAGCTTGACGTGACTTTGGATTATTAAAGCTGTTCCTGGGATTAAAAATACTACAAACATCTGATTCTTGAATAGATTTTTACCTGTGAACAAACCTGTTGAGATAGTTAAAGGCTACCTGTTATTTTTTTAATGAACGGCTTCAATAACAACATTTTTATTAGATATTATTAACATATGATCTTTTTCCAAATGTCTCTTAGCTGCATTTTACAAACAACAAAGATAAATATGCGTGGGGAGGAATATTGGGTTTAAAGCAAAAGTTGGAGCTAAAATCAGATTAAATCATCTGGGCTGAAACATACTGGACTCTAAAAGGAGAATTTCTGTAACTGATCTAAGATTTTAGTTGTAGATAAAGATGAGAAACAGTTCTTGTTTCCTAATATAATTAAAACCCTGATGAGTTTGATTTGCATAAATCCTCAATTATAAAATTATCCAGAAATTGTGTTAAAGCATAAAAATTCTAACCAAAAACACTGAAAAGTTTCAAATCTGGCAACTTTCATAAACATATTCATTTGTAACATTTACACCAAAACCAACACCATTAGAAACATAGTTTTAATTTAGAGTGTAATTGACTGTTAAATAGTGATTAGATGAAAAATGTTAACGTGTTACTTCTGCTGTGGGGGGGCGGGGGGGTCATGAAACATTTAGAAGCTTCTTGTCGGAGCCGTTTCTGACAAATCTACAGAGAAACATACGGAGGCTTTAAGGACGTTGGACAGTTGATTAACTGTTTTTTCTTTAACTGTAAAATAAATGGACTTCTATTTTTGTTGGAGAAATAAGTCCAGTTCCTTTTTTATTTTTATTTTTTTAACTTTCAGGAGTTAAATATAATAAACTAAATGGTCCATTTGTGTTTTTTCGTTCATACGAAGAAAGAAAAGCTGCTTATAATCTATTGGAAAATGTGAAAGCTAAAAGTTTTTCCCAGTGTTTCTGGTTATAAATTTGGTATCTTATGAAATAATTTATCAATATAAAGTACATAGTGTCAATAAAATAAGTTTAATACAAAAATTAACATTTAAAATTCCACAGTTATCTTCACAATTTGCATAAATGGGTAAATTGATGGGGGTTCTGTGAGAATGTTAGTAATAATTAATATCTTACCTGTTGTAGATAGATGTTTGAACAACCTTGTTTTGTTAAAATAGGGTTAAAATCTAACCTGACTGATGAGCTCATGGCTAGTCCAAACACAGCCAAGACTCACGTGGATTTTTGCAGCCTTAACTCGTCTCCAGTTATGCTATTTATAAACCTTTACATTGCCAGAACTTTTGCATTACATCATCATTCCAGCAGAAAAATGTTGGCATCTCTGCAGGAAGTGCCCCAGGTTGCACAAGAAGTGCTACAGCTAGCTGCTGCCACTGCTATTAGCTATTACAAATTTCCACTAAAGCAGAATCCTGCAATCATAAAACCAATCCAGGCTCATAATAATTTAATTGATTCAACTCAGTTTCCATCCATCTTCGTCTTCTACTGTTTAACCATAGTCAGGTCATGGAGGCAACAGGTCCAGGAGAAAACACAGATTTCCCTCTCCCCAGCGACACTTTCCAGTTTGTTCTGGGAGACCCCGAGACGTTCCCAGGCCAGAGGAGATGCACCATCCCACCAACGAGTTCTGGGTCCGATGGGTTGATGGATCCCAGCAGGTGGTGGGTCCACATGGAGGTTGCTTTCTTATTTTTTCGAGCTTGGCCCGGCCGAGTCTTAGGAGCCAAGTCTCGACCACCAGGCTCTTGCCGGTGAGCTCCCCTCCCCAAATCTGAGAGACTGACGTTGGTAAAAGGCGACCGCAACTCAATTTGGACCTGGGTTCGCACAGAATAGCTTTTAGCTCGTTCGTCAAAGATCTATCTGCAACAGGTAAGATAGTAACTGCTCATAGCCTTTTCCACAGAACCTTGTTTTAAAGGTGGTTCGGGCAGAAGCTGTTTTCAGATCAGGTAATCTATGCAGGAAGTCATTTCCCTCACTGCAGTCGGCTCTCTGTATTTTTACTGACCCAAATATGAAGTCCATTTCTCTCCCGTCATCCTGCTGTGTGCTGAGCTCTTCTGGCAGCGTCTCACATGGTCTGCACTCGCACTCGGACCAAAAAAACAGACAAGAATAAGATATATGGAGTGTTAGTGTTTGGGTCAAATATTTAATTATTCTTTAGTTTTTAAGAAACTGTCTGAAGCGTCTTCTTTCAGTTCAACCCTACTGCAAGCTTTTTGTGATATTCTTACCAAATACAGGAAGCAAATTATTTTGGTGTTCACAGGTACTACCAGTCCACCAAATCCTCAGGACTGTCCAGCAACCTGCAGCCAACCGGAGCCAAGGCCGACCACCTCCGGGAGGAGATGGAGGAGGCAGCCAACCGCATGGAGCTCTGTCGAGTCAGTCAACATCACTGTAAATAACCATAATGTCGGACAAAGTTATTTATCCCAGGAGCAGGGCGCTTTTCCTCAAGAGATGACGTTAGAGGGACAATAATTGTTCGTGATTAAATACATCTGCAGTTTTTCTGCTCTAAAAAGTCCAGACGTATGTCTACAAAATTTAAGTCTGTTTTTTTTTCCTTCCAGGATCAGTTATCAGCAGACATGTACAGTTTTGTGGCCAAAGAAATTGACTATGCAAGCTACTTCCAGACAGTAAGTGCAGCTCGGCTGTTAGCTAATTGAACAAAACAACAAACGCACTCCTCCGACCCGTTGGTCTGTTTATGTCTGTCTGTCCAGCTGATAGAAGTCCAGGCAGAGTACCACAGGAAGTCGTTGGAGCTGCTGCAGAGTGTCCTGCCTCAGATTAAAGCTCATCAGGGTGAGTCTCTGTGCAAAAAAAAAGACAACTCGGCTACTACCATTCAGAATTTAGATCGACAGCAGATCTATGCAGCATCTGTGTACTGGTCTGTCTACGTTCCTGTCCTCACGAACTCTGGGTAGTGACTGAAGGAAGGAGACTGTGGATCCAGACTCCGCAGGTAGCTGGACTCTCCCAGAGAGACTGTAGGGTGATGGGTTCAGTTATCCAGAAGAGACTCCGCGTAGAGCCGCTGCTCCTCCACATTGATGGATGGATTGTGCTCAGACTGTGTGTTGGGGATGATGCTCAGCTACTACCACATCAAGTTTTAGCTCAATATCTAGAAAACTGATGGAGTTAAAGCAATTTTTGTGCCCTGGAATTTCATTCAAATCCGTCTTGTGGTTCTTGAGGTACGTTGTTAACGGTACAGACTAACAAACACATGGATGCAGCAAAAACACTATCGCCTTTACCTTTGGTGGTGAGCAATTTGCGGTTCGTTTATCGTGGACTCGCTCTATCGCAGTTTTTCAAAATAAGATTGGACATGACACACAACTGGCTGATTGATGGATGAGCCGCACGATCTGCGTGGAATTGTATTTAAAATAAATTATTTTAAATTATCTAGCACCTGCTGCACCTTTGTGCAGCCCGTACTGCAGGATAAACTTCCTGCTGCAGCTGATCAGCTGTTCACTGTGCAGAGCAGAGAAGTGGGCGTGGCCGAGAGCGCTTGCAGGTGGCAAAGAGCAGCGGAGGCAGGGAGCTGAAATCATGACATTCTGTGCTCGTTTAGAGCGTTTAGAGTTTAGAAACATTGTTTAGAATATCGCAAGAGTGTGGGAAGGGTTTAAAACACCTTTTTATACTGTATATATAAATAATAAAATAAATTGTTACTTACTACTTGTACTACTATTCCTACTTCGCGGTTTTTCACTTATCGCGGGGCTTCAGGGTACGTATCCCCCGCGATAAACGAGGGACTGCTGTAAATGTGGTCTCGTTTTTCTGTATTTAAAGGTCAAAAGGGAAGTTTCGCTTTCCTCAGAGGAATCGGGTGCAGCGATGTGAGTGAGGGTAGTGCAGGAGACAGCGGTGAGATGTGCAGATGGGTTCAAGGCGGGGGCGGGGTTAAACCTGGGATCAGCTTCCTGTTTGCAGTGGTGATGGACAGGTTGGCAGGAGTCCTCGTGGACTTTAATGCTTACAGACAACATCTGCAGTGAAAATAGGGAGCAGCTTTTATATTTTTCCTCATTTGGAGTATTTAATGATAGCAGGATCATGTTTGTAAGTGTGTAACAGTGTGTGACAGTGTGTGTGTGTGTGTGTGTGTGTGTGTGTGCTTCACAGAGACCTGGGTGGAGAAACCGTGTTATGGGAAACCATTAGAGGAGCACTTAGCGCTCAGCGGGAGAGATATTGCCTTCCCCATCGAGGCGTGTGTCACCATGCTGCTGGAGTGTGGCATGCAGGAGGAGGTAAACACTCGCTGCTTCAACGCACGGACGCAGGAAGCATATTTACAGCAAAGTGAATATTTAGTCTTAATTACTGCAGGAAACTAACGAGGTTCACACTGAAACGTTTCACAGCCTGGAACAAATAATTAGGGACTGTTTAATTCGTGTTTAATGGAAAGAAACGCCCCAACTTAGTGATAAGAGGTGGAAAGTAATTAACCTGCACAGCTTTTTAGATGTTAATGCTCCCGTTGAAGCAGACGTTGGTTTTATTTACGTGTTTTTGCAAACTTTGGCATCAAGAGGAGGTTTATAACATGGGGACAAAAACAAAAATGACGAGGTCACCTCAGAACATTGATCTTTTTTTTTTACCTCTTCATACATTTTTCAGATGTAAATAAAAACCTTCCGAGACTAATCTTTGACCTCTTTTGGCTTTAATATTTCAGATGGTTTTTGTAGGTATTATTGCTCGTTAATGGCGTCGACCGTGACTCTGTGTTTTCTGGGCGTCAGGGTTTGTTCAGAATTGCTCCTTCGGCCTCCAAGTTGAAGAAGCTGAAGGCGTCGTTGGACTGCGGGGTGCTGGACGTTCAGGAGTTTTCTGTAGACCCGCACGCCATCGCAGGTGAGATTTCGACGCCGCGGTCTGCCTCCGTTGTCACGACAACCGGTCCAACCTCTCTTCACCGCTGCAGATTTGAGTTTTCGTTCCTTTGCTGTCGCTCGTTAGTTTTAAATTAGCATCTGAATGCTCCTTTGAAAGCCGTCAGTGAACGATGAGTTTAAGATTTAAACCTTGAATGTGTTCAAATCCATTTTCTGCTGTTCTGTAGAAAGTAAATGATTAAAAATAGAATCCCTGGTGATAAAATCCAGATATAACAAATGTCAGAGAGAGTCCTCATTTTCTGTAAAGGCTCCAAGAAAAAAACAACAGGTATGTTTTTCTTTTCCGTGCCTGTCACTGACTTGCTTTTAAATAGAACCGTGATGGACAACAAAAGAAGGAAAAGCTTTCAGCTGCTGTTATTGATCTTTTCTTTATGACAGTGTTTCTGTTTGCAGTAGCTGCTGCACAAAGCTGCTGTCAGAGGAGAATCATAAATCAGGAGGAACACCAGCTCAGACATATAGATTTAACTTCCACCAGAATATTTTTAATTAAACTGCCAACCTGTTTATTTTTATCGCATTCCCTCGAGGAAGGCTAGAATTTCATTTTTGAACAAGTCGAACGCACTTTTTTTTTTTTAAATTTCAGTCAGTTTTGCGACATTTAATGTTGTAGTTGTCAATATTGAAAACAAAAATTACATTTTTACTTTCAGGTCAGTAATTTTTGTGTATTTTCTGTTTTTTGGAGTATTTATTTATTTATTTTGTCTGAATATCTTATTTCCCTTTTATGATCTCAGTCTTTTTTCTAAAATAAATCCTTAATAGGATTAAGTTGCAATCAGAAAGAGATAGAAATTACTTAACGTCATGTTGAGATCAATTTAATCAGATTATGAAGGGAAGAAGGCAAAAATAATCTGAACAGAGTCATAAAAATTATTTTAAGATAGTTATACTGTACAACTGTGTTTAAAATAAACCGTAGTGATTCCTATTCACTGATCTTTAGGAAACTTGATGAAATAAACATTTTTGTTTTTCTAGTTTGTTCCTCTTTTAAATTTATATATATAGACAAATATTTCATGAGTCACTGGATGAATTTCACTGTAACTTTCAGAAAATAATCATCATCAATATAATCATCTACAACTGATGAACTTTTGGATGTAACTTGATTCAAAATGGCCACCACAGGTAATCGGCCAACACGTAAATGACATCAACTCAGTCAGTTTTACAGAAACTGAGCTAAAGTTGAGTTATACTTCAACAATTGCATGACCTGTTTGTTAAAAACTTAGACTTGAAAGGCGGCGGGTGATATTTATTCCTTCAAGTAATGACCGTTTCAGGTTTTTATTATTTGCCTCTAACCTATAATGTGCTTTGCTAACCCCAACCCTAATGTAGGCGTAAGGAAGGTCACTATCAAAAACTGGTTACCTTGTCAAATCCAATATGGCTACCATTATATACAGTATATTTGTAAACAAGCCACCCCGATCATTTGAGGAAACTCTGCTTTTGTAGGTTTTATATTGCTTAAAAGTATAGTTTCTACAAATGATGCGGTGGCTGAAGATTAATCTGTGGGGGCCAAGCCCACCATTGGCCACCTCCTGATCCATTGCACATGGTGGTGGATGAAATTGCTTCCTTTACTCACCAGGATCCGTCACTCTGCGCCGCCTCGGACAAACAAAAAAAATAAACCTCTGTTCTTGTCCACAGTGTAACTTCTACTCACTTGAAAGTCTCACACCAAAAACATTAAGATTTACTTTCATTCTGCACTCGCTCTCGTGCAAGGCGGACGCCTTTTCTCTCCCTCTCCCATCCTCTTCCTGCTTTATTTTTTGCTCTCTGTCTGTGTATCAGAGCTCCTATTACACATCTTCTGAAACTAAAACTACTGTCATGGATCTGGTCCGCTGGACTTTTAATGCAATCGATAAAATCTTTTCAACAAAGCGACAGGGTCCTGGAGAGCCCTCATGCCCCGCTGAGACTCACGCGGCAGGATACGTCATGGATCCGTGAGGAGTTTGGAAGCTGACGTGTCTTTCTGTTTTTGTCTCAGGAGGACACCCAAGATGTTTATAAAATTGGAATCATGTTAGCAGGGTTTCTGATTTTTGGCACCAGTGGATTCCCGTGTTATCGGCTATTGAAGAAGACTGCGGCAGCAGTTTCGGCCGTGGCAAAACTGCAGAGTCTGTGTGAAGGTTTGCTCCGTGCTTCTCAAAATAGCTGATTTACGAGCTAAACTGTAAGATGGAAGAGATTTGTAAGAATCACAGGCCACCTGCAGCTTCTGGGACTCGCCAGCATGTTGGAGACGACCTTGGAGGAGGCTCATAAGCACGGACCAGTGGAATGCCAACTAATCTGGCCATTCTGGATCGACAGTATCAGCAGGACTCAAGGCTGACGAGGAAAAACAGTCTGCCTGAAGAAAATCAACAATTGTGGCTTATCTGAATCCGACTCCTCCGTTTGGCCTCGAATGCAGGCTGATTTATCAAATTTCTCCTGGGATATGTGAAAACTAAGGAAAAGCTTCGTCTATCGCAACACCCCCCAACTTCTGTGAAGGCTTATCAGAACTGTGCCGGCTGACCAACATCTTATCAGGACTATGGTCTATCTGGAATTGCTTCATGGACAAATCTCACCATCTTGTCATCAAATACATATGTAATGTGTTTATAAATGTGCTGCTGGTAGAGGGTTTGGATGTCTTGATAAAGACAAGGTGTAAAGAGATCTTTTTTGTAATGCCACTATCCAATCCTCATAGATTTTCCCCGTTTCTGTCTTAAAAAGTATTCTGAACAAGGATAAGGGGCCACGCTCTTATAGCAGCAGCAACGTGCACTCCGCTCATCTTTCAGACGACTGTACGAACATCATTTCACTGTATCCCGGTACAATGATAATAAAGCTTATTCTGATTCTGAGTTTGTTTCATTCCCTGTTCAGTTCCAGTCCAGAAAAACACTCATCTCCAAAACTACAAACATTTACCATCAAAGTATTTCAGGGATGGGGACATCGGCTTGTTTTGCAGTGCTTAAACGTGCATCTGCAGAAAAACAGCAGTAATGCATCAAAGATTAACGAGGCCTTTCGGAGGTGAATTTATTATCGGTGAAGGAAGTGATCGATGTCAATGCTTTATTTTTTCTTCCTCCAGGAGAGACGTTCACAATTGCTCACATGGAGCCTGTCACAAAAGACGAGAGAGACTGAGGAGAAAAACAAGAGTATTAAAGGCTGCAGACGGCACTTCAAGCTGCCACTTCAGGAGACGATAACAGACAAAAATGTGCTGATGAAATAATTACAGCCGACGTCTAACTGAAGCTAACGGTGCTTTGCCTCTGGAAAGATGTTTTTCACGTGTTTTATCACAAATAATGGATATTACAGGGGATTTTCAGGAAATTGGCTTGTTGTGAAAGGAATCAGAGGTGGGTTTTTATTTGCTGTGCGAGCAGGAACACAAATACTAGAAAATGAGAAGCACAAATATCCTTTAATCCTCCGAGAGAACTTCTCCTGCTCATGTTTACGTTACATGTCAGTTTTAATGTTCCTGCCTCTGTTTCTGTGCAGGATGTTTTAGTTTAAAGCACTTTGGACTCACTGTATTTGTGTTCTCTTTCAGGCGCTCTGAAGTCGTACCTGCGAGAACTACCTGAGCCATTAATGACCTTTGAACTCTACGGTGATTGGATCCAAGCCTCAAAGTGTGTATCGTCAGAGCGACATCGTTGCCCCCCCAAGCTTAAAACGTTCATTCGTCTTTTTTGTTTGAACACATCCTTTCTGTCCTGCAGCATCCAGGATCAGGAGAGGAGGCTTCAGGCTCTGATGGGAGCCTGCGAGAAGTTACCTCCAGCCAACAACAACAACTTTAAGTGAGTCACGGTTTCGGGGTTTCGCACGTCAGACTCAAATCCACGGTCCTGGACCTTCAGCTGTCCGTTAACAAAAATCTATTTAACTCAGTTCAGTTTTATGTAAACTAAAGGGCTTTATGCATCAAAGCTAAACCAAAGATTTAAAAAAATTAAACAATAAAACTTGACTATACTAAAATACTTGTTTTAGTTTTCAGCTTTAAATGTTCAAACGCTTTCCTGCTACATGAGTTTAAATCAAAGTGAGACATTCACTCATCGACATATTCTCTGTATTAACAGGTATTTGATCAAATTCTTGTCCAAACTGACTGAATACCAGGACGTGAACAAGATGACTCCAGGAAACATCGCCATTGTCCTCGGCCCAAACCTGCTCTGGACTCACAATGAAGGGTAAGAAGGCAGAGACGCCAAACGTTGAGCCGCTGTACAGAAGTTAAACCAACAAAATTCATGTCAAAACAGAAGTTCAGTCATTTATAAATGAGGGGTGTCACAGTGGCTAAATATTTTTCTCTTTTTGTTGTTTGAGTTTCATGAGACGAGGAAATAACCTTTGCAGCAACACCTAATATGTAAGAACAATATTAAGTATTGAAGGACACTAGTGTCCTAAATAAATCTGTTTATTATGAGGCAGATCATGTTTAAACATCAGAGTGGAAATCTTCTCAGGAAAAGTACAGAAACAACAAAAAAAAAAGACTAAAAATAATAAGTCTGAGTAGCTTAAGTGTCAAAAAAGTTGTGGTCTCACATTTTGATCTGAACCATCCGTCCATCCATCCCTTGTCCTTTGATTCAGTTTTTATCTATCCGTCCGTCCATGATCAGCTCACAGTGTCAGCAGGTACATAAAGAAGCCCACACCTCTCTCTGCCCAGCGACACTCCACTTCTCCTCTTGGGGGTATTCAAAGATGTCCTCATACCCCCAACAAATACTTCCTTCAGTGAGCTCTGGGTCTTCCCCAGGGTCACCTACCAGTGAGAAATGTCTCAAACACCTCCAGAGGAAGTATCCTAATCAGACGCCTAAACCACCTCAGCTGAATCTTTCAATAGGAAGGAGACGTGGCTCTAATCCGAGATCTTAATCCGGTCTCTGAGCCTGACCACCAAACGGAGGAGTCCCATTTCACCAGTTAGCTTCCAGGATCTCATTCTTTCAGTCATGATCCATACTTTAAGACCATAGGTGGGGGTTGGAATGTAGGTAGTTCACCAGTTCAGCTACTTCTTCACTGTGGCAGACCGGAGCAACACCTTCTTTACTGCAGATGAAGCTTTGATCTGTTGGTCTCTGTCGCTCCTGAACGAGACTCAAGACCTAAACTCCTTCAGCGAGGCAAAGCTTCTCTCTCAAGCCGTGGGGATCGTTTCACCTTCTGGCCGAGAGCCTGGCGTTTAATCCAGATCCTGAAATCCCAGAGAAAGACTCCCAATCGAGGATCTCTTCCAGGCTCATGTGGAATTAAACATTCAGTTATGTGTTCAGGAGCCGAACTCATCTGTGCTCCAATAGTGAGAGCTGAGATCTTAAAACCACAAGGAGTCACTATCGTGTAGATAAACTCCAGCTGGTTTCGTTCTGACCCCAGTGAAATCTGTAAAAAGGTGTTTTTATTACAGCGTCAGACAAAATGAGGTGAGTGAAAAAGACAAAACCATATAGATTTGTCGTACTTGTACCTTTTCTGCTTTAAGTGATGCTGCTTTTATCACGTAGCGCCTTCCGTTTGGCACTGAATGGAAATGTTCACGCATAAGTTCAAACAGAGCAGGCGGTCTGCAGGGATTCTATCGTCTCTGCAAACTTTCTTTTCCTCGTAATCTTCAATGCCAAACATGAGCGACTAAATTAGAGCCCTGCGGTCTCGAGACTTCAACGTATCTGCAGGAAACGGCGCTCATAAACCAGACTGACGGGCTGAAGGACTCCTCTGTTATATCTCTACAAACTCTTCACAACTCCATAACTTTTAATTAATATTTTTATAGCCCATTAATCCAAAATGGGTTTAATGTTCTCACTTTAATGCTTCTGATAATTAAAACAGTGGTAATGAGTGTAAAGCTGTAAAACGTAGAGGACGACTTTTTCCTCTGCCCTACATCCCATCATGAAAAGTTTGTTTCCTGTCTGCTCGCTGCAGCGACATCACCGAGATGATGACGACGGTATCCCTGCAGATTGTCGGCATCATCGAGCCCATCATCCAGCACGCCGACTGGTTCTTCCCAGGAGGTGAGGAGACACTTTACAACCAGGAAACCTTTGTTTTTATTTTACAGCTAAGCAGAACCAGAATGCAAATTAAGATCCTAAACTGTCTTTAACTGGTTCTTCTTTCTTAGAAGTCGAGTTCAACATCACAGGAAACTACGGCAGCCCCGTCCACACCAACCACAACGCCAACTACAGCTCCATGCCGTCTCCGGACATGGAGCAGATAGAGCGCCGGCAGAGCGACCAGAGTCGACGGCCGCTGAGCGTGGCCACAGACAACATGATGCTGGAGTTCTACAAGAAGGACGGGTATGAGCCGCTCTACTGGATCACATTTAAACAAACACGTGCGACGTTGGTCATTTGCTCCACATGCAGACCAGCGACCGTAAATGGTTTGAGTTGCAAGACGGATGTACAACTTCAGCGCTGGTGTCACAACCAGTGACACTTATAGTGTTATCAGGCAGTTACCAGAGTGTCCAAGTCGTTCAAAGCTGTTAATGAAGGTCAGAAGACATAGAGCGTGACTCGGCTTCATTAATCCAGTGGTTCCCCAATTTTTTTAGCTTCTGACTCACAAAAATGATAATGACAACGGCTTGAGAGCCCATTATTTTCCTTCTGATTTAATTAAAGTACTAGCCTTACATAATAATAAAAAAAAGTTGTAGCCGTATTAATCAAACTTAAAAAATAGCAAGATATGCAATCTTATCTAAAGTGATCCGTTAGTGCTTGGAATATTTAATGTAAACGACTTTCAGCTGCAACCGAGCCAAATTTTACCTCAAGTTGTGTAAAAATTACTGAATTATAGCCTTTTTTGTGTATTTTAAGGCTAGGCGGCAGCCATCTTGAATTGGGTTGGCTCCGAAGGTTAATGGGTTGTTGATGTTCATCCAATGGTTGGTTCCTGAAGGTTTAATTAAAATGGTTCATGACAAATTTTAAAAACAGGCGAACGAGCAAAGACAACAAGACAAGTGATGATTTTTGTCGTTGGGCCTCAGAATCATTCATGGTTTTAGACAAACTGACCTAAAACCCCTCAGGTTAGGACTTCCAGATGATTTTCTCCAACAAGTGAAGAGGGACTAGGAGCTCACGGGTTTCATGTGAGAGGAGTCCGACAGAAAGGGTTTACTCCATATCACTTTATTGGTTTCCTCCCAGTGAGGCGGCTGAAACTGAGAAAAAGAGACGGTGAGGGAACTGACATTTGGTCTGTGAAATGAGCAATCCCACAATCCTCCAGCTGTGGAGGAGGATTAACAGAAAACCTGTCGGTCGCTTTCACCCTTTCTTTGATGCCGAATTCGTGCTGCAGAGGTTTTATCAGGCCCAGCGGGGCGGGGGGTGTGGGGGGGTGAGCTCTGCAGCCCGGGGGCCACGAGCTGCTAATTAAACCTGGACTGAGTGGGTTTGATGAACGGAGTTCAGCTTTCAGTGAAAAATCATCCATCAGAACCAGAATGAAGCTTCGAGAGAAACATTATGTAAAGCAGGAGTTCATGTTTGGATTTAATCTTCAAAAAATCTCAGATTTAGATTCATAATTTATAT